CCTTCCACTTCTGTTTTCTTGTCAGGTTAAGGTTCCCGAGCTTTCCTGAAAATAGCATAAAGAAAAGATGTTTGGAACTGGACAAAACACTTGAAATTCTTTCATTTTCCTACATATTCATAGTTCAGATTACGTCTAAGAATAACAGTAAAGTGCTGCAAGAAAAGCTGAAAAATTGTCCTGGCACCAAGAGTCATGTCTTTTTCAGGTGGTATGAAAAGACATCAAATGGAAAAAACTAAACAAAACCCAAACAAAATAAATCACATAAGGTCATTACAGATAGTTTTTGATTGAAAAAACCCCCACCTGGATACTCTGGTCCTGAGTCACACCCTAAACTGTTGCTGTTCCCCAACCTGCTGCAGCCCTCTTTTTAAAAGGGAAAACTTAGCATGTTTCCAACTCGCATGGACATATTTTTGAATAAAAATTGTCTGACTCCTGTCAGCAGCCTCCTGTCTCTTGCTGTTCTGTCCTGCCCCTGTCTATGGAGATTGCCATGACTGTCCTGTCACAGAACAACTCTTAGCACACTTTCATGACATCAGAGATGTTCTCCTACAAAAGCCAGACATAATCCTTGTAGATTAGTCCTGTCTCTGTGGCTCTGCAGGGCATCCATAGAATAATAGAATGGTTTGCGTGAGAAGGGACTTTAAAGATCATCTACTTCTACGCCCCCCCCCCCTCCCCACCATGGGCAGGGACACTTTCCACTAAACCAGGTTGCCCAGAGCCCCATCCAACACGGCCTTGTCACTACCAGGATGGGGCATCCACAACTTCTCTGGGCAACCTATTCCAGTGCCCCATCACTTTCATAGTGAAGAATTTCCCTAAGCCTACCCTTTTTCAGCTTAAAGCCATTCCCCCTTGTAAAAAGTCCCTCTCCAGCTCTCCTGTCAGTCCTTGTTTCTAGGTACTGGAAGGTGCTATAAGGCCTCCCTGGACCCTTCTCTTCTCCAGGCTGAACAACCCCAACTCTCTCAGCCAGTCTCCAAAGGAGAGGTGCTCTAGCTCTGTGATCCGGCTTCATTATTGCCAACCATGTACAAATTGCAGAACTTGCTGTCCTGACTCACACCTCTGCACTTGCACAAGAGCCATCGGTTTTCCTTAGCCATCTGTGTTACACTAATTTCTGATATGCCTTTGGGGCTATGCACAACTGTGGGTATCTTTGAAAACAACTGAGCTTCTTAACATCCCTTGGCACTCTCATGCAAGCGCCTTGCTGCTATGTCGAAGGTCTTCTGCAAGCGTTACTATTACCTGCTCTTCTAGCAATAGTAAAATGCTAAACTCATGTTTTCCTTATGATGATATGAGAAAATGCCTTAATTGATCAATCGGTGGGCCTTTCTGGCTGGCCCACTCCTGAATATGCTCTCATCAGCCTTTCCACAGAACAGTCACCACTTGCTTCTCTTTCAGAACAGTCTGTTTTACAGGACCCAGCCCTGGGAGATGAAAACACTGTCTGGTTGTACCAGGGCTGCCAGTTACACCTTGATTCCTTATGGTCCTCCCTTGTTGAACCTCAGGTTCTCCTCCCTTACCTTGCTGGTGTGACCCACCTGGTGGGGTTATTGTAGCAGTGTAACAAACATGGTTTGCCCAAAATTTTCTGTAAGAGCATAACAATACTGCAGCACTTGTCCAATTTGTTCAGTCCATAACATCAGATAAAGGGTGAAAACCAAAGTTGCAGCATACCCAGTCCCATGGGTTTCTTTTGTAAATTTGCAAGTGGATTTTATGGAGATGTCCAAATGCTATAACTACAAATACACTTCTGTAATCATAAACATTTTCTTAGGATGGGTAGAGGTCTGCCTGTGTAGAAACAGGCAACTACTGTCACCAAGAAACTTTTGAGAGAATGCATCATTTTGATTCCACACAGTGGAATACCCCTGGTACTACAAAGAAACCAGGGGACTAATTTCTCAGGATGTGTTGTCCAGGGGTTCTGTAAAGCCCTACAAATCCAACAGGATTTACACTGTGGAGCTGTTGAAAGGAAGAAATCTGTTTAAGAAATATACTGGCCAAAATATGTGAAAAAGCTGGCCTGAAAGGGCTGGATACTTTTCCTTTGGCCCTAACATACGTCAAGATCACTGTGAATAAAAACATATGCTATGTCCATTTGAGGTTATAATGGGTCAACCCATAAGGTTACTGCATATCCCACCTAACCCACCACATAGATCCAAGCTACAGGTGACTGTTGAGGTTATGTTGAATTACTGCAAGGCTCTTAAACTGGGAAGACTATTTGTTCACAGGTTAAAAAAAAATAATCCTTCCATAACTTGCCTCTGAATGCGACACTGTTGGGGACCATAGACCTGAGTCTACACTGAGGTGCCACACAGATGACTCAAGATAGACAGCATGGAATCCATACAGATGCTCTGTCCTCCAACAGTGGAAAGTCTTTATATCTTCGTATAGACTATTAAAATAGCTTTCTTCAGTTGGCCTACCATTACACTAAAGACTTAAATGTTTCAAAATGCTGGGTGTGTTCTCATATCCCTCTTCACTCTAGTGAAGGTGTCATCATGCTTCCCATAGCATGTAATTTGTCAGTAAAACAACCAATCCGGAATCCCCTGAGGGCAGAAATTCCTTGTCCAAGGTCATCCTCACTGAGAACAACTGGGAACCGATCCAAGTTGATCCAATAAAGACATGCATGAAGCTTCAACTCCTACTCACCAACTGGGATTACTTGCACCTGGGAATACTTGTTACTTTAAAGCAAATGCAACATGCCACCCGGGACAGAGTACTTCTCAAAACTGCAGGACATGATAGGATATTGCTTCTATATGTTTCTAAAGTGTTTTTAACAAAAAGAATGGTACTCTACCTTTCATACATAGATTACAATGCTACAGTACAATTTCACACTCCTCATCAGAAAAGAACCTAAAATAATTGTATGAAATTAATGGGAAGTGTATTTTTTCACTCTTTCTCCTTCCAACATTCTGCATGGAACCAAACCCATTGCATTATTTATCTGTCAAATAGAAAAGTTACAATTGCTTATATTATTTTAAATCATGCTATTCTGAGCTTTTAGTTTAGATTTTATGTTTTAAGGAATATTTGAAGTATCTAAAAAGCACTGAGGAAAAACCATGAAAATATCAAAATCATGGAAAGTGGTGCAACTTAATCTTCTGTATATGTACTTGCGTATATATCCAAGTGTAAAAAGTTACCACAGACAATTGATCTGTTAAATATCTCTAACCTGGCTGTGGCATCCACACACTATAAATAGCAATATAAATAACTATAATCAACCATGTACACAATTTAAAGAATGAAGGAACACAAATCATCCCATCAAAGGGCAAAAAAAGCATTACACACCACAATTTTTGGGGTTCACCTTGGACTAGGTGTACAATAGAAGTACAAAATCAACTACAATACAAACTCAACAGAAAAAGCCTACAGTCTTCTTTGCCTTAAAGACGGCACTAGTTCAATGGTTCAGTTTCTGACCTTGCTTGTTTACTGCTCCTCAACATGCTATTCACTTCTAGGAGTCCTACTGAAAGGCTTGTGTAGAGTCTCCAGTACCAGCACAGGATCTTCAGTTGAAAACCTGTCTCAGTTCAAAGAGACTGGAATGTTTAGTAAAGAGGATGAGTTATGAGATAGACCAAACTTCTCTCTCTCAGCAATTGTATAAATTCAAAATTAAGGGGCTTTAATCGAGGAAGTGTGGAAAAACAGAAGAAATAACAACCCTTTTTTAAAAGATATACGTATGTTGGCAAAAACAGTAACAGAACACAAAAAAACTAGACAGTAGTCCTGTACCCAAAAGTCCCCTTCAAACAAAAGAAAAGGCCTGAATACTTCTCTGTCTTTAGCGCAGTTCTAATCACGGCCGGCAGGGGGCGCTGTTGGATCGCTGGAGGGGCAGAGCTGCCGTTCTCTGTGTTGGCCTGCAGGGGGCGCTGTCGGGCTCTGGCGGTCACCACACGGGGAGGGGGGTCTGGGGGTGGTCTCGGGCGTGGGAGAAGCCGAAAAGAGAATGGGGACCCTTCCCCCAATGGAAGAAGGGGGAAAGGAAAACAGTCCACCCCCACGGAACTCACTGTTGTCCTCAGATGACGGTGTCCCAAGGCTCCTCCTTTCTTCTCCCAGGAAGCACAAAAACTCTCCGATGAAAATGCAGCAGGTCCGGGCCGGAGACAAAGACAGCCTGCCCGCAAGTCGAGGCCAGCAGTCAGCGCTGACCAGGGCGAGAAGCCAGAAAGACAGGCCTTCTCTCCAACAGCACGCATGCAAGAGCTTGGCCAAACCTGACCTCTCCCTTCTGAGAAGAGCCAGCAAACCTCTCCCCCAAAACTCCTCCCCTCTCCCCCCAGCTTCTGATGGGCCACCCATTAGGAATGTGGTTCGGCCAGCTAGGTTCTTTTGTAAAGCTAATTGCCCCCCCTTTCCATTCAAACTCCGTCTTTCCTACAGTGGGGGCAGGGGGAAGAAAAATTCCCCCCCTTGGATTTCTAACCTATAACAAAACCTCTGGGGATAAAGGGTGCTGAGGTTCCCTAGAGGAAACTGCCATTCTTTTTAGCAACATCTAACAGGAGGAAGTTAACTGCTACTTGAGTGTGTTACATCTGAAGTTACCTACAGTGATTATTTCATGTTCCTAAAAATAAAGCCTCTTCCAAAAGAAAAAAGCTTCTTGTATGCACTTTGTAAAAGACAGAACTCTCAGAACCAGCTCTTTCATCAGACTATTAATACCTGATGTGAAAACCTAAAAACACATTCTCACATCTTCCAGATTTTAAAGAAGTCTTCTTTAGTAACTGATAGGTACCGAATAATGGAACAGTCATAAAAATGAGATTTTTCTCATCACCAAATGAATGTCTGAGAGCATATCAGTGTGACTGATTCATATTTTAGCATTAACTCACCATAAATACCAAAGTAAAGATTACAGTCTACTTTTTTATTTGAAAAGCTTTTATAGTCTTGTTCAAAATATCTCATTTTAATCTCCTATCTCATATAAGTATCTCATATTTATACCTTGTAATTTTAACACATCCAAGGGAATATTCATTAAGGCATTTAATATAATTTGCTCAGATATATCTCTTGGTAAAATACTATTTGATTTTAAGCATATAATGAGGCAAGTATTTAATTCTATCATTTACTGTGCAGCTCTGTCTGCAGTTTGAATGTGACTCTTTGTTCTTTTCTTCAAACTTACTGTTTCCTCTAATTTTTACTTCTTTTTACTTTCATATGTCTTTGAAGATAATTAACTGTGTTCAATAAAACTTGTTTACATTTAATGTTTATTTTGAAGTTGGATGTTCCTTCTTGGATAGAAACTGCTTTCTTCTTTGGAAGATTTCACACAGGTTTCTGTTAAAAAAAAAAAAGGACAAAAAGAAAATCCAGAAGAAATAGAACAACAAAATGACATGAAATTGTGCAACTACTGTAGTGCCAAATTATGGATTAACTGAACATTGTATCAGCTGGCACAGGCAGAACACAGGAACAACCACAAAACCAGGGAAGAAATGCAAAGAATACATTTATTTTTGTTACCTCACCAGCAGGGGGATCCCCCCTGAACCTATGATTGTAATTGACACTTACAATGCAGGAAGAACAAAAACAATCATACAATTAGCTTCAGTCAAACCTTACAGTACCAAAACATACAAAAATGTCTTTTATATTCTGAAATGTGGCCCAGTCTTTATAACTCATATGGGGCTTCTGTAAAAACAAAGTTCACTTTACTTCTTATAATTGAATGGTAAACATGTTAGTAATTTTCTGCTTCAGACTTTGAAACAAATCAAATTCCATGCTCCAGTATTAAAATGTATGCTTTCCTATATTTTAAATTATTCAGTTTGTACTTTACTGAAAAAAATTGTTAGTATTTAATACAAAAATTTCTTCTTCTGCAGCAATATAATGTTTCAAAGGCATGAAGTCACAGTCAGCTAAAATAAATTTTTTCTTTTAAATTTACACATTTTTAGACATAATGAAACACTACAAAATTTTCTTGTCTATTATCCATGCCATAAGCAAGAAAGTTTCTTAATGTTTTCTATTTGAATGGCAGCTCCCTTGCAGTTTTCGAATGCTTATGGCCTCTGTTCAAATGTGTAGGTACCAAAAATATCAGAGAAACACATTGTTTTTACAGGTGTCATTTTATTCCCTTTACAGAAAGGAATTTAAAACTATCAATTTTTCTGTTGACTGTGATGAATCTGCTTCTTCCTGAAAATTTAGAATTACTTGCCTGATAACCCTGGATGACATTAAAAAGCAGGCAGTATCAGATGACTGAAATGAAAGAAGGGACATATGATACCACAGGATATGCAAAACCACTGGAAGATTCTCAGGATCTTCTTTTACAAATGGTTAAGTGCCTCAGAGAGAAATTTATAGTACAGATCATATAGCATTGTTGAATAAATGCAGCATACTTGTTAGATGAACAATAGGCAAATACACAGAAACAACAGAGTGGGAATACCCACATTAGGTTAATTTCCCATAAACAGCTGCTGTTTTGCCAGTACCAATTTTCCTTCCCAGTCTAGAAGATATTAATACTAATTTCCTTCTGGTGTGTGAAAATACTTAGAAATAAAGGTAACTGTACAAAGGAAACAGGAAACAGATATGCAAAGTTCTGGGGATGCCCAAGTAGGAAATGTGTGCTGGGAGGGAAATTTCTGCAGCTTATATTGTAGTGATACTGAAACTTCTCTGTAACTACAGTGGATTAGATTTCAGACACGGACATAGGCACCTAGCAATGTTTAGGAAACCTGCTTGACCTCCAGCTGCTACTTCAGAAAGTTTTCAGTAGGTCTTGTGTCATATTTGCATATGTTTTAGTGTTGTGGATTATGTAAAATAGTGTAAGCCTGATACTTAGAGATCCCAATTATTTAAACAGAAGTACTGACACAAATAACACACTACTGTAGAATGACGGATACCTGGGGGAAGGGAAGGGCGAAGGAGGGAAGCAACAAACTTTGAACTTACTTCATTCTTCCCTGTAAATATCTTCACAGAATCTACACTTTTTTAAACAGAGAACATTAGAGAAATTTAGAACATGAGATACACATTCCATTACTCTACCCTGATTGTATGAAGGCAAGTCATAGTTTGTCCAGTTAGGTCAAAAAAAGAGGGTGAAAAGTGTTTTGAGCAAAGAAAAGTAATCTTTCTTGGCACAACGTTTTGGTCTTTACAAAGCATATACATTATCCACTCTCTCTATTCTAGTTGGATCTAAAGAAAATCTAGAGAGAAAGGCAAAGAAGAAAAAAAATAGTAATATGATCCTAAATTTTATTTTGGTGCTTGTGATTTTATAGCACATTATTCACTAAAAAAACCCCACCAAAACACTTTAATAATTCACCTTCAGGAAAAGCGCAAAGAGGCAGCCTTCTTTCTCCAAGTTTGAGAACCATGGCAAATCTGCAAAGACATTTAGCATGCGTGATAATTGAAAAGAAACTCTCAGGGACTGTGCTAGAAGTTTAAAAAGGCAAGTTTTGTGAATTTTCCCGGAGACACCAATCCCACTTAGAAAGGCTTAATTTAAAATTAGGTTTCTCCTTCCATGCCAAAAAGCCATCAGTCAGCACCTTGGTAGGATGCTGCATCCCTAAACAACCAACAAGGTAGTGTTGCCTAAAAGTGGCACTTAAAAGAAACCTCTGAAACTCAATCTATGAGTTTTAGCAGGCAGGCTTTCCTTATTACAGCGTGCTGGATGATTCCATCATGCTAGGTGCCCTGGTAATCATTTTGCCAATGTTCACATAGAGGTATCTTTGTTATACCTTATAAATTTACATTGTGTGAGTATTCATTTTCATTCCCTGCATTCCTGTTACATATTCCTAACTTTTGACAACACTTATTAGCATCTATACATAAGGTCTCTGAGGGGCTTTGCCAAGGGTCTTTGGAGGTCTTTTCTGTTTGGAACCCCCAAAATTCTAAGTGACCGCCTTATGAAAGACTTCAAGACAATTGGGTTGTAGAGTGGTTATAGAGTGACTTGGTGTTGCCTGCCTGGCTGCTTCAGTTCCCTTCTTGTTTCTTTATTTGGCTTGGCTGGTTTCTTTAAATGGAGGCTTTGGTTACACATATGGTACATTTCTGTGGCAAGCAGTGCTAGCTCTCAAAACTCTGTTATGAGGAGCAACAGGATGCTACTTTGAGATATGAAAATAAAACACATGCTTGAAGGCGTTTATGTAATTGCTCTACCCTCTCCAGTGCTCATTTGTCACTTCTGTCACAAAAGCCATTAAGGCCAATCTGAGTTTCCAAGCAGTTATGGGTCTGGACAGCTTTGCAGAAAACTCCTTCTTAAAAATTCTAACAGCAGTTTAGCTGCTGTGAGGGTGCAGGGGGGTTAATGTCTGAACATCGGCTGTTTTCTCTTCTTTAGAAGCCTGGGTTCTGTTGGGGGGAGGGGGGCAGGAGGGCAAGGGCCCCACCAAACGAGAAAGGGTAAACAGCACCCTCAATGAGCACCCAGGAGACCGCAAGCCCCGAAACACCGTGGTTGGCGTAGCCCGGACGGCACTAAGGGGAGCTGCTATTGACACTCCTGCGGCCGCCATGTGACACAAGCCTCCTCACGCAACGTGGTGCCCTTCAACAAGATGGCGGCCTCCCCCTTGCCTCCTCTACCAAGATGGCGGGCCGCACCCCCATTGGCGCTCGCCCCGTGCCACCGCCACGCTATAGGCTGAGCCTCCGGCTTTCTCCGCTCCCCGCTTCTCACAGCCTTGCCGTACTAGCAGTGAACTACATCACCCAGGATGCCCCGCGCTAGGGGAGTTGCCCCACCCCTTTTTTACGCAGCACGGCGCTGTACCCCCGGGCCGAAGGAACGGGGCGTGGTCTCGCGAGAGCCGGCGCGGGCCGACGGGGGGGGGCGCAGGGCGCACCCAGACCGTTGTCGTGGGCTCATGGCGGCCGCGGAGGCGGCGACCGCGCCCGACCCCAGCGGGCTCTCCCCGAAGGAGGAAGGGGAGCTGGAAGACGGCGAGATCAGCGACGATGACAACAACGGCTTCGGGCCCTGCGGCGGCGGCTCCCAGTCCGGCGGCAGCCGCGGTAGCGGCAGCAGCAGCAGCAGGCCGTACTCGAGGCGCCGTCCGCCCCCCGGGCTCCACGGGAGCGGCTCCGTGTCCTCCTCCCCCGGGCGGCCTTTCCCGCGATCACGGCACCAGCCCCCGCCCGACACGGGCCACGGGCACGGCCACGGCGGGTACCGGCCCAAGGACTCGTTCCGCTCCCACCCGCCTGCGCCGCGGATGCCGCCGGGCTCTCACTCGGAGCCGGGCCCCCGGCTCTCCTTTTGGGAGCGCAGCCACAACGCCCTGGACCGGTTCCGCTTCCGAGGCCGGCCGTACCGGGGCGGCGGGCGCTGGGGCCGGAGCCGAGACGGCAGTGACCGGCCAAGCAACCCTCCGGGAAGGCCGCCCGGAGGGGGTGGCGGCGCCGGCTTCAGTGGCAGCCAGGGCTGGAGGGAGCCCTCGCCTCGGAAATGTATCCTTGAGACCTGGGGGGGAGCGGGGGCGGGGTGACCGAGCTGCTGCGGTGGGCCTGGGTGTGGCGGTGCTGCGCTACGTGGCCGAGTGCTCTGGGAAAGGAACGCGTTTCCCTCCTGCTCTGGGAGGGGGATTCCCGCAGCGATAACGGAGAGGGAGGTTCCCGTGCCAATCCCGGGGGTTGGCTGGGGCAGCCAGCCCTGCTTCTCAAGGCTGCTGGGAATCCGGATTACCGCCGTGACCTGGCTTGCGACTTGGTCGATCGGTCCCGTGTAGGGAAAAAGAAAAAACGTAGCCTGGGAGGAAGCCTTTGTCGATTGGATCCCGGGCGGTTCCTTTTCTAGCCCGAAGTGCAGATATTGTGAAGCGGGGTCAGTCTTTGGTGCGGCAGTTTTAATGTGTATAATTAGTGTCACAATTGTAAAGCTAAAACCCTGAGCTTGTTAATTTCCCATATTGGGAAATGAAGGATCTACTGTTTTTTTTTTTTTTTTTTTTCATTTTTACTTCCTGCCTTTCAGAGGCCGTTACACGTAGGTTTAGCTTTAGTCAGTATTAGCTTAGTTGAACTGGGTCTGCACACGCGAAATGTGTTTTATATGGGAGTTCAAAGGAAAGCCATAGTCACCATTCCTTGTAGGATGTTCTCCACTGACTATTCTTAGAGTTGTTTAGGAATAGAGTTCTGATATTTTGTCCTTCTATGAATGAAAATGTTGGGAAAAGCTCCCCAAATTTTTCTTTTTTAGTATAGGAAGAAACAGAAAAAGGTGATGCTGAGAGTAGCTTAGGGCAGCCTGGTTACTTGATGTAACTTCATTGTTGCCTAACTGAAAATGTAAACAAGTGTACAAACCACTCAGAGAGATGCTGGTTAAATCCTATTCTCCAGAATTTTACAGTGTTTTATTGTCCTCCATACCAATAGTCACAGGATGTGTGTTTGCTTGACTGTGCTGGTTGATCCTGGGAGCAGGAGTTTTCCCGACTTGTGGCAGCACTTAAGGCTTTAAAAGCTACTCCTTGGATCCTTGTATTCTTTCAGATACAAGATTATTTATCCATGTAACTTTTTTATTTGTTTAAATGTGGATGGAATATGTAAACTAGTGATAGAGATGCTTTTATTTAATCTTGCCTGGTGCAGTTACAGCATTACTGAAGTCTTCGTTGGAACTCTTCATTTAAGGATGCTGTCTTGAGCGGCAGCAAGTGAAGAACTGATTTGCCCAAGGTTGCACAGTAAGATAATTCTAGTGCTGAAAATAGATTTTAAGGCTTGTAATTTGGAATGTTGCTCTGAGTAGCTGAAGATGGTTACTTTCTGCCTAAAGAGTAATTTTCAGGGCAAATATATCTATTGTCCTAAACAGACCCTGCGATGTTTGTTAATACTGATACCGAGTCTCCTTCCCACTTTTAATGAAAAGAACTTTTAGAAACTACTAATTCCATTTTCAAACTGAAAGTAGAAAATGAGGAAGTTGGAAGTATTTTTATTCCCGATACTTAAGATGCACTCTTCTGTTTAAACATGGTAGAGAATGTTCTAATATTCTTGCTCTTTAATAAGTGAATATTCAGTTTATGGATCATATAGTTAAAGAAGGCCTATGATTTTCTCTTGATACAGGTTCTTTTCTGTATTTTTCATATCCTTGCCATCTAAAGGAGTCAATATTAAGAATTCCTAAATATTAAGGTACCTCTGTGTTGCTAATATTAATGGAGTAGGGGTGTAGTTTATTGGAATGTGATTTCAGAAGAGCTGGTACAGGGAGGCTCGTGGCCCGGAATTGTATTTGAAGTCCCCCAGGAAAGTAAAATGTTTTAAGAGGCTGAGTCCTGGTTTTGGCCAGGAAAGAGTTAATTTTCTTAGTAGCTGGTATAGTGCTATGTTTTCGATTTAGTACCAGAATAATGTTGGTAACACAGTGATGTTTTAGTTTTTGCTGAGTAGTGCCTACACTAAGTCAAAGGCTTCAGTGTCCTGTGATCTTCCAGCAAGGAGATGCAGAAGAAGCTGGTAGTGAGCAAAACTGAGCCCCAAACTTGGCCAAAGTCATATTCCATACCACAGAATGTCATGCCCAGTGTATAAACTGGCTGGGAGCCACTGGTGTCTGCTTGGGGACGGACTGGGCATCTGTCAGTGGGTAGCGAGCAGTTGTATTGTGTATCACCTGCCTTTCTTGGACTTTATTCTGCTTTCTCTTTTGGTTATCTTTCTTTTAATTATAATTTTACTTGGTTTCTATTATTAAACCATTCTGTTTTCAACCCACTTTACCTCAACCCACATTAGCTTTTTCTGAGTCCCCAGTATGGAGGGGAGGGGAGAGTGAGAGAGTGGCTGCGTGATAGTGAGTTGCCAGCTGGGATTAAACCAAAATAGTCTGTTAAGACAGAAATTGCTTACTTGCTTTATCCTTGGAACTAGTGCTTTGCACAATGTTTTGTAGGAATATATATGTAAGTGGAGTAAAGGGCACAGTGGAACGCTTAAAGAATTCTTAGCTTTTAATAGGCTTTTCTCTTTTAATTCCTGGCAACTTTAACATGAAGCTGTTAGATAATCATTCTGCAGTAATTCTTGCATGGAGAATTGTGGAATCTGAGTCTGAAATATGGAACCAAAATGAGACTTTCTATTTCCATTGAATTGTGAACTCTTAACAGTGTACATTTTTCTTTGTTTCTAACCCCCCAGTTTTCCAGTTGCTTCAGTTAGTCCTTTTTTTTGGTTGTAGGATGATGTTTCTCTTGAGTTGATTGAAGCGCAATTGTTTTAATATATATATGCCTCTCTGCCTTTCACAGCACTCCATGGAGTCTTGCATTCTGTGTGTAGAACCACATATAAAAATTTTCTACATATGCAAACCACAGAATTTCTGGTTAACGTCATTGTGGGAGCCTTAATGATTGTATTATCCTGAGCACAGAAACCATGGCAAAATTTTGTCTTATTACCCAACTCTAGATGACTTTAGAAGCTATTGAAGGATTTCAATATCAAATAGTAGTTACTTATTTTTATAAATTATATTGTCACTTAATTAGCTT